TAATGGATAGGACAAATTAAATATAACGGTTTCAAATGAATGTCGTTTAATTTTCAGAGCCGCCTGTGTCCCCTAGTGACTGAAAAATATCTTTCTCATTTCACCAGGCTTAAAATTCACCGTCACATCTCCATCATTGCGTATAAGCACATACCGAGATTACAGTCCTTGAAGTATGCAGGATGTTTGTCAGGGGCACCCAACGACGGTTTCCTCCTAAATACATTGACAGCGCTTTTTGGCTATCCAGAGCGCTTTTAGACCTTTATAAGTGCATTCTAAGTGGCGCTATAAAAATTTTTATCTTTTCTATCATCCCAGGGGAACGTGAATCTTTCCAAATTCTGTATATTATTTTCCCGAAAATTTTAAACGCGATTCAACGTATAACAAGAGTTATAATTTTTCTGATTACTCTCCCATCACATTTTGCATCCGAAATTGTAGGGTTTTTTTTCTACGAAAAATAGCCCAGCCTGGGGAGTAAAATGTGAAAAATTTAGCGAAAGAAAATCTTAGGCAATTTATTGGACAAGCTTCGAAAATTGTTCATGAATGAAACGTTCATCTAGAAATTTTTAGCCGTCCCCAAGTAACAGAAAACTTTAAGCAATATTTGCTTCTCCCAAGGAGATATTTTGCAGAAAACATTCGTTGAGTGCCCCTGGTTTGTCACATGACCCTAGCCTTAGTGGCCTTAGTACTCACGAGTATCCTTCAGCTTAGTGGTAGAGCAACTGTCCTAGCAACCAGAAGCTCATAGGTTCTACCGCATTTTGAAGTACTCAGATTTTTTTTCTTTCGAGCCGCCTTTGTTACGAATGAAAAAAAATCTGTCTCATAGATATAGATCCTTATCATCCTATTCCTAATAAAATTTGTAACTATGTAGTCGATAACTCAACCAGTCACACTATCCATCGGCAAGTAATCGGCTCCTGCCATCGGATAGAGAATTATCCGTAGGATAGCGTTGTTAATTTTTTAACAACTGGCGTCAGAGCCTGCATGAATTTCAGCCGTTTTCTCAGGTCTCCCTCGGCAGCAGGGCTCTCTCCTCCTGCAGAGGCCTCGAGGCTGGAGAGAAAGAAAAAGAGAGCGCTCATCAATCCCATCGTTCCCCGCGCGCTTTCTATTTTTGTTTTCTATTAGAGAGAGGCAGCAGGGTTCGAGACAGGGAGAAGGATCTCTTTCGGGAGTTTGCAACTCGAGAAGACGGCTACAATTCAGGCAACCAGAAAAACAGCTCAGGCTCTAAACGAACATGTTGAAACTTTTTTGTCCAGCACGGTAGAAAAGTGCTTCGCATTGGCTGAAAATTGGATGAAATATTTAAGCATTGCAAAAGCATATGAACGCGAAATTTGTTTAGTCAAAAAAAACTTTACAAAAGTTGCATTATTACCGATTTTTGCAAGCATCAATGAATTCATTATTGTAAAGGAGCAATTAATTTGGCTTTATCAAATCCTTTTGGCACACATTTCTGGGCATTGTTGTCCCTCGTATATAGGCCTGGTTACTTTCTTTACGTATTTAGAAGCAACTCACCTTTCGGTCTTTCACAGATGTAGTATTCGGTCTTCTTGCAACAATCAGTAAGGTTCCAGCCATTTCTCAATAGTTCCACACATTTGGTCTCATTGCGATTAAGCTTACTTGCTGTGCTTCCAATCCACTTGACGGATAAAGAATGATTAAAAGAACTTCCATCGTTCCATGAATATACCCCCTTCGGAAGCCGATGAACCAACCCAATCCAAGCAGATTGCGGGCCTTTTAAATCCAAAGACAACAGATTATGGACAAATCCCTTTTCCGTTTCACTTGTCATGCTAACAAGATAACCTCCATACCCCATACACGCGCGTGACGCTTTTAACCAACCTCCGAATATCTTGGACTTTTCAATTTCCTGCATCACCTTGTAGCAAGAACATTGAAACTCAGTCCAACCATGAGGGCAATGTAAAACTAGAGAAAAATGCACAAATTAAAATTAATAAAGCGATCTTTGTCTCTAACGATAAATTTCTGCGATCTCCTTGTTTCAAATCGAGAAGGGATGGGTACAAGTCAGTTTTATAAACAACACCAGACCCAAATAGTCAGAAAGAGCACATTGAAAAACCTCTTGTCTGCCCGGCAGCTGGTAGTCTACCAAACATCCGTTTTTTATTCACCTTTTAAGAATAAAAATTAACGATAAAAATTTTGAATGACGTTTCGATGACTCGCTCATCATTTTCAAATTCTAAAAAGATAGATTGTTAAAAGTTCTATCTTTTTAGAATTTGAAAATGATGAGCGAGTCATCGAAACGTCATTCAAAATTTTTATCGTTGATTTTTATTCTTAAATGTTTATCGAAAGCGTCTGTTATTAGTATTCACCTTTTCTATATTTAAATTTTTAATTATTTCTAAACAGTTGTAAATTTTTGTTTTTATTAGCCTTTTCGTAGTTCTAGGCTATAGTTTTTAATAATACTAGTTGTAAATTTTGTTTTTTCTAGCCTTTTTAACACCTAGATAGAGTCTATTTGTGGGCATTGTATATTGTAACGCAGGTTTTATCTCTGGAGTGAAGTCATACTGATCATATGTGAAGTTCGGATGCAAAATCGAATAAAGAATGCAAAGAATTCACCATTTTCACATTGCCCATCATACAACATAGGCATTGTCTTCAATTTCTCTTGGGACGACTATGATCTATGATAAAGCCTTTCTACTCACATGTTTAGTGTCAATGCAAAATTATTGGAACAAAAGAAAGCATTGAACTACCACTGGATTGGTTTGGAACACCAACATGGCCGCCGTGACGTCATGTGTAAAGCTCTGAACAATGTTATGCAAATTCCTTTTTTTGGGGGGGTGAACTTGAGTTATAAAGAGTTGGAATATGACTTACCAGCATGAGATATAGTTGTCACGAGGAACAGTGAGACGAACAAGTGTATATTGGTCATTGTGACTCAGATCTAAGGTGAGAAGCAAAGGATTTTTATAATAAGCAGGAGCCTATAAACCGGAGCTAGCAACTTCCATACTAGGCCTATGTCACGGCGTTTTTAGGGACCAGTTTAATTTATTTTTAGACATTTTAGGGCACTTTTTCCTGCGAAAATAGAATCTCCACCATATCTATGAGCCCATTCGAAGTATAAAATATCAAAAAGGAAAACTAAATGTTATTAAAGGGGAAAAAAATATAATATCTAGGTGTGTAGGTTTTGCTGACTGGTTTGTGGAATTTACCAGATATTCAAAAATTTGCGCCAAAACCGTTTTAAAAATAAACTGGTCCGTGGAAACGCCATGACAAAGCGCATGGAACTTGCTCGCAACGGATCATGGGTTCCTGTATGGTCGCTATACATGTGTGATATTTTGCTTCAACAAGTGACGCCTTGTTATTGCATTTTAGGTGCGCACTAATTTCGGGGTACCCATCCCACAATGACGGTCAATATGAAAATCGACGCAAGGAAAAAGTTAGTTGATCGCCAGCCGAAGCTATTCAAATTGACTATTGCAAAACCGAGTTTTTCATGAAGCCACTACAGCGATAATTTTTCCTTGTCTGTGGGGCGTCTCCTTGTAGCTTTTTGTTTTTAGACTTTGGTGTTACAAACTGGATATTATGCTTTGATATGGTTAGAAACAGCGGCTGCTGCAAATACAGTTTCAAAATTAAATTTCATGAAATCCTAGTCAAGGTCATGGGAAAAGATAAAAAGAAAAGAACATAAAGATTTCAGTAAGACCCAGTAAGAGTTGGAAAAGAAGTTTATATTTTTGCAGACCAGTTCTCAATAGAGTGTTTTCACTCACGTGCCCTGCAGCTATGCAAATTAATTGCAACAAAAAAAAGCGTTTACATAAGAAAAGAGTTCAACTCCCATAGTATTGGTTTGGAACACAAACATGGCTGCCATTCCAGTGTTCTAGAACACCAATATGGCCGCCGTGACGTCATGTGAAAAACCTGAATCACCTTTACAGTGCTCGTCACGCGACCACTGAAGATTTCCTTTAACTCGCTGTGAACTGTTTTTCATATCTACAACAAACAAAAATTATTTTTTTACGCCTGTTATACGAAATAGGAATTTTTTGGACAGTTTTTGTCCACCAATCTCCTAATTTGAGAAATCTTTCACCTAAGATTGACGTTAGTCGTGAAATTATGTCTCCCCAACTGATCGGTGAATTTCACATCATCATTTCAACATAATATGTAATGTTTTATCCTCTCTCTTTTTTTTAAAAAAAAAAAACAACGTTTGCGCCTTTTATCGTTTAATCCACAGATCTCTGGAATAGAAAGGAAAGTTTCAAAACCAAAAATCTCAAGCAGAATATTTTTTCAGGGACTAAGAGACATCAAGAAAACCGTAAGTACACCACCTGATTATATAGAGAACGTTCGTCAAGTGCAATGGAAGAGTCCAATGCCGTCAACCCGGCGTTGGAATTGTTCAGGGCCCCAACTTTACAGCAGTCACCTGTTGTACAAGGAAGTAATAACGGACTTAAGAAAACGACAAGACGGATCTCGATCTTGCTTCTATTGTTAGGAAACTTGCTTCTTAAAATGTTTTGATAAGTTTGGATATCTAAGTTCACAAAACACGAAACGGCTTTACTTAATTCAGCATGATAGATCGTTGAATGCGGGCTGTGTTCTAAATTTTGCTGGGAATTTCTTACGTAGGATATCTTGCGCCTTCATTATTAAAACCATAAACATAATTCATCGCCAAGCGTTCGTTTGTCGATCGCATTTTGATTCTGAAATATGAGAAACAACTGCTTTCTTAAATTTATGCAGAGAGCAGTGTAAATCAACCTGTCAGTTTTTACCAAGTAAAATTTCAAAACTTGTTAATAGTAGCCAATGATAAAGCGAGTCAGAAAGGTGGCTACTAACAATTATACCAGCTAGGAAATGCAAAATTCTTAAATTCACTCCTCAAAAAAAAAAAAAGACAT